AGGTCCCTTCCAACCCAAACCACACAATGATTCTATGATCAGTTGTCTCAGACTGTCTGTGTTTCTTAGTGAAGCAAGTGACTCTCTGTATGTGTCATTGCTTTGACATCCCTTCTGTTTTCAGTTTCCACCAACAGTTGGTAACTACTTTTCCATTATTTAGTTCTGAATAGTCTCAATCACAGATTTGGAGTGCTCTCAATCACATGCTGGGATCCCAAAGAGTTAGTCAGTATACTAGGCAAATACTTAAAATGTGTTCCTTGACTATGGAAACACTGTAAAGTTAGTAAACTGAAGGTCTTTTCTATACCAGTCTATCTATAATCTATACCGATAATAATCTATAAAGATTATTAATCAGCATCGTTCAGTAAAAGGTAAGTTGCATGACTGCTTTAACTGGATTTAACTTGATGTACAGCAGTTATGGTCCTTTATTTAGCCACAATTATTATCAGGTATGCCCTTCAGTGATAAGATCGCTAGTATTTTATGAGTTTATACATTCACAGAAGAGAGATGTGATTGCCTTCAAATCCCCTATTAATCTAGGGATGCATTTCCAGGCAACCCATGACTTCCTCCACTGTGTTCCTCTGTGGGGTCAAGACAAAGTTTTGACTCCACCAGCTTTTTCTGTAGGCATCCTCAGCTTCAAAACACAGGCCTGTTTAGTATAAATATATATAATGGTTTTAAGCACCAAACTCCAAGGATTAAGATAAATACTAGCACAAACCCCAGACTAACCTGTATTTTATCTAAGACACCAGTGCTGTCCATCCTGCTGGCCACATTTACTGTATTGCCCCAGATGTCATACTGTGGTTTTTGAGCTCCAATTACTCCAGCTATTACAGGTCCATGGTTGATACCTGGAAAGCACCGGAACTTAACATTAAAAAAAAGAAGATCCACCAAACAAGGACACACAGTGCATCTGGTAACACATCAAGTCAACAGACATGGTATTTGGCCCATGCTGAATAGTGAGCACAGCAACAAACAGCCTGTTCACAACTCTTTTATCAACCATTTACAGCAGAAGGAATCCCAAAGTCGGTTCAACTAATTTTAGTCAACAGCTTCCTCCCATCCTGAGTAAAGTTGATATTTTCAACCATTAGTATCCTAATAACCTGCTAATGCCTTTATCAGATAATGAGGAACACACTGTGGGAGAGCAGTGGCTTCTGGGAAAACAGATATACAAGAATTTCTTGGAATTGCGACTTGTAGAGAAAAGGGCTTCTCTCTGCAATAGTTGACAGCCAAATCAAGTTACTTTTACAGTATTCTTCGCTTCTTAGATGTAGAACAAATGAATGCGAATGAGCTGGAAGGATTTACTTGAAGCCTTGTTCTGAAGGCTGGATTGCTCATAGAATGGTCCTAAATAACTGCAATAGAAAAAGGGAGCAAGAGTAACAAACTGCTAGCTCTGACATGCACACTGCAAGAGTGAAGAACAACATGGTATGATCCCTCCTGACACTCAGCCTTTTTTACCTTGCAGTCAGTTTGTATCGTATTGGTAAAGGGAGTGAGTTGTACTCTGCTAGTACGGAAAGAAACCAGGAGGCAGAATCAAAAGCCCTGTCGTCAAGCAGCATCAAATATACTATAATTGTCAGAAGACATAGTGAGGAGCAGGAAAGCCAAGCTAGACTTAGCAAGAAATAAACCCTGGACAAGTGAGTAGGTTTGATTTCTAAAATTATCTCCATGTCAGTGGATTATAACGGACTTGTATTAATTCCTGGATGGAAACCAATACTAGGGATATACCTATGCAGCAAAATCAAAGTGCGATTGTGGCAGAGGGAAGCATTTCAGACCTGGATCATCTAGTGTGGATTGTATGTAACATGGCAGTGTGGGCTAGCAACCAGGCTATAAGCCCTCCTGGAAACCCTGAAAAAAATGACTATAGCAGTTAAATGTAGAAAACCAGGGAAATATGCAAACCCTAAAGGATATGGGATAGAACCTGATAAACATTTGTCTAAGTGCTTGGGATGAAACGCACAAAGGGACTTAGGCCTTGCCGCGCACTGCGTTAACACCCAAGTTGTGGTGTGTCTTTCTGCCCCCTGACACCCACTGTGCAGAAAGCACTAGGGACCTGAGAGGGGAATCCACAAAAGCCACAGGCTGAGTAGCCCAGGCTGGCTAGTAGGGATGAGATGTGTGTGCCGTACGCTCTGCCGTGGTCCAGACATGAGGGCAGTGCGGTAAGACTCTCCTACACAAAACACGATGGGCAGGAGGTGACTTTTGGGGTCTTTTTTACCTCCTTCCTGAACCACCACTGCTGATGGTCTGAGTAATATCTCAGGGGATGGAGAGCCAGCTCCAGATCCCTCTCTCTTCGAGAAGATTCTACCCATATGTCTTAGGAATGTGTTTTGGCCACCCAGGCATTCTGGGATGTGCCGCTCTAGTTTGCTCGTGCGGGTCTCCTTGGCATGACACATGTGTTTGTCGGGGCAAGGCTGGGACAGCAGTACTCCCACTCCCAGGTTCTAACAGAGGGTGATGCCCTCTGTCTCCTCTCATATCCAAAGTGACACTGAATTATTTCATGAAAAGGCCAATCAGGGCAGAGAATATCTCATTCCAAAGTATCCTACAGCCCAGGCTTTGCAAGACTTGCTGCAAAAGCGTATCTCAGCTGCCTAATAAACCAAGCATCTCGGCTAGTAGCAGGGGAGGGATGCCTGAAATACAGTTGAGGTGCTCCCCGCCCCTGCCTGACAGCGTCAGGGCGTGCTGCGTACCTCCTAAGGTACAACCAGCCTTACAGCCACTCACAGAACATGAAGGTTGAAAGCCAAGACCTGTAGGGAGCTGCAACAATTCCGGGGCTAGATGCTGGCTGAGGAAGGTTTTTACAAATGGAAGTTTGAGCTTAAATCCTTACAGCGGGGTTTATGTCAGACGCAGATGTGCACACGTTTCTGTGGATCTAATTGCTAGGGATATCAGGGGCTTTTGTGGTCAGGTGGTGGTGGGAAGTGGAGAACTGAAGATGGGAAGGGAAGACCTCAGTGGTGCCTATACTGGATTAAGGTGGCAAAAGTGCCAGTTTGGGGCCCGTGCCCCTTTGTAGATTTAATCATTCCTCATTTAATGAAGCAAAGGAGTCTGACTTCTCTGGAACTTAGAACAAACACGCTAAAATTCACAAATAGGTATCTTTTTACCCGCCCTAGAAAGTTTGCTTCACGATCCCCACTTTAAAGGAGTCAGTATTGCTTTAACCAGGTTGCAGACTTAGCCCCGACACTCAGCAGCTCTTTATCTGTACTGACAGTGCTGATGATAAGTACGTTTGCAACTACCTGGCACGTGTCATCCACGGCAAGACGAGAACTTTCATCCTGGACAGAAATATGGTATTTCTACACGTTTCTGTTCAACCCATCAAGTTCTGTAACACTCTGAGAAGGAAGCGTGCTTCAGATTTGCTTTGTCATTTTTTTTAACTTTAGCGAGGAATACAAAACATACTGGCAAAAGGGTGCCCTGAGGAACACCCGAGTATTTCAGGTCAGGAGACAGCAAGTTTTGCCAGTGGGTGGCACTGTGAAATAAACGTGAGAGAGCCGCCGAAAGGAAAAGCAAGCGGCACGGCAAGAAAAAGACAAGACAGGAGGAAAACTGTCGGAAATCAACTTCTGACATGTTTACAGGATTTATGAGTTTCCAATATTTATTTACTGCTTTCATTTCACACTTTCCAAGTTACACATTGCATTGTAAAACTGCTGTGTACTGCTGTCAGGAAACAAACATTTTGGAACATATGGTTCTTGACCAGCTCTGAATTCATTTATTTCATCATGCTTCCCATGGCTCACTGCAGCTGCCTGTTCCTTGTTTACCATGATGCACAAGTAGAAACAATTAGAAGGTGAAATATAAGGGATATCAATTTCAAATATAAACAAGTAGTCATCTTTGCTCTTGTTTGTCAATAACCACAGAACAACGAAGAAGAGAAATACCCTCCTTTATCTAACACTGGAAAGGAAAGGGTGCATTTTTGTATTCTTGCTTGAGTTTAGCACATCTAAAATATTTCAAACTCCAGCCTCACTGGCCTCTTATAGCTCTGGTCCTCCAAAACCATTTAAATGGATTGGTATAGCCCTGTCAAGAGTCTTCTTGTGTCCTTCAGTACTGATAAGCTTAAAAAAAATAGGTGGTTAACTACCTCTAAAATAAGTATTATAGAGTTACCATGAAACAATTCAGAGCCATGGGAACATACTGTTCAACCATTCTTCCCTTAGGAATACTGCCCTTTTCTGAGTCCTGCCTTGATACATTCCTTGTCACAGCAGCAGCTATGGTTAATGGGCAATGCCATGTAGGCCGCCTCTAAGCAGGGTAAAGATGGTGCTATTTATTTTCATGACCCTTTTGGTCAGTTCCACCAACACTTTAATCAGCTGGTACTTCACACTGAGATCTCCCCCCTCTTCCATTATATTCTCATAAAAATCCTGCGATACATACCTACTCGTAACTTGAAGTCATTGAACGAATGCTTGTTGATGACATCCAGTTTCGCCACCAAGGCAAATGCAAACTCCACCATGGTTCCTATATGCATATACTGTCGTTCGGGTTCCTGAGTTTAAACAGCCAAACAAACAGAATAAAATAATTTTCCTTAGCCTTAGTTGCTGTGAGAATACAACCAAAATACGCTGAACACTCGAAAGACCTTAAACCCTTAGGGATGTCCTATCGCCAGCAGTCAGCAGAAGCAAAGTGATGTAGAAGATGCTGCCCTGTCCAGCATCAGTTAGATCAAACAGTGGCCAACAGGCCAGGATGCATTTTACTTACATCAGGCAGTATAGAGATGATCAATCCAAAACATGCCCAATCTAATGACTGTCAAATAACTGATTACCTGCTATCTAATCCGACAGACACTCAATGTCTACGTGTGCCTAGGATTTTCTCATTCATTTTCTCCAAGCGTCTACCTCTGTGTTATGCCCTTTAATAACAAATAATGCTGCTGGACAGCCCCATTGAGACTCCTCCCTCTCGCTGTTGCACAGCCCAGCATGCTAGTTAAAGCTTAAGCTCCAGTGACATTTACAATTTTAAGAGTTCCTCCACTGATCTCATCCGGTAGATAAGCAGCACCTCTGAGAACATCTAATAGACCTGAAAATGAGTAAAATATGAGATGAAGAGGTAACCCATCCTCTGCCCCTTAAGTTACTAGCCCAGAGCTTATACCATGCAATACCTTTAGGCTATAGACATAATGTCTCCTCACACACCAACGGTGTAGCCTGATGTCTAAGTACTGCTTTGAGCCCTCTCAGGCTGAGGAGAAAATTGATTTTTGGGCTCCCAGAGCCCAGGGAAGGACCCCGGCAAGAGGATAATTTCGTAAGAGATGGACTTACTGATCTCAATGAGAAATGACTTAATCTTCGTCATTTCTTGAGATAAAGTGACAGAAGAGATGGACAGATGACAACTTCGGGAGATGATTCATAGAGGAGATGCATCAGCCTAGGTGGGACAGCAGTGGTGCTTGCCAGGGCGGCTGTTTAGATGAATGAAGATTGTTTCCTTTGGAGTTCACTACATCAGCTGAACAGATGGTTTCCTGTTCAGTTGATGTATTCAGACCCTCTCCTTAGGCGCTCACTCTTCCTTGGATGCTTGTTTTAAGCTGGGAGCTGTTCTCAGCAGTAGGCCTAGCAGTCAGGCCCTGCCACACTAGGTTCTGCAGTTACCTGCGGATCTTTGGGCAGCCGGACTGAAGGCTGCTGAGTTTTAGCGGATTTCTTTTGAAAATGTGTACTAAATCAGCAAAGGAACACTAAAACTTGGATCTCTTGATTCAGTTTGTGGAAATAAACAATAAATTTCTTCCTGTGCACACACTACTTTTAGACGTCCTCTGTGTTTTCTCATCTCCAGCCTGCAGTTCCGCATTTTCCTTCATCCTCTTCACCTCCCTGTATTAAATGTCAGAGCTAATTTAAAATCATTCTTTTTTTTTGCCCTCAGGATCCTTAGGGTCTCTAGTTCAGGAGTTAATTGCTTCTGTCTAGAAGGAACATGAGTTTGGCAAGAGCACATTAATCCTTAGCAGAGAATGTGCTGATTCATAATTGCTCTCTCTCTGTTGCTAACCTGTAGTACTCTAAAGATCACAGCAAAAGCAAAGTTTTTCCTTAAAAGTTATGAATTGCTCCTGTGAACTTCATTTCTACTGACTGCAGTTCCCAATCCTGCCCTATTAAGTAAACCAGAAACAAAGGAACACATTCTCAGTGCTGAGCCTGAGAGTTCTGTAAGTGCATGGTTAATACAGCTACTCAGCTCTCCCAGCTTACAATGGAAAATACTCATTTTTGCAGTCTTTTGTACACTCTAAATCCACTTCTGCTGCAGCACGTAGGAATAAAGTGCTGTGTTATATTTAGAGTAGAAGGCTAGGTTTAGACTTAGCAAATACAGAGGTGGCATTTTCAAACTGCAGTGTGAAGAACAATAATTCACAGAGACCACTGAAGTAAAGTATACACGTGTCTAGTACAATACAATCTACATTATTAACAAAAAAACTAGCCCACAACATCTTACACAACCATAAGCAGTTCAACGAACAGAATTTTAGCCTTCATTTGAACATGTTTTTTATTAAGCAGGAACTTTTTCCTGTACCTGACACTGTTCTTGGTTGGGTGTAGCACTCAGTCCTGTGGCTGCCATGTAAGTGCTTCCAATGGTCTTTATCTTTTCAACTCCACTGAACTTTGGCTTTGACAATAACTGTAAAACAAGGATGGTTACTCATTATTCAGAGCAGCAGTTCTTAGGACAGACTCTTTATAGACCCAAAATGGCTTCACGAGTATATACAGGATGAAGGACTTAGGATGGATAAAACAGTGGTTACAGCCTCCAAGGATAGGGAATTTATGTTTGCTAAAATACCTTTTTATTATAAAGGGACCAAATTTATAGTAAGGAGAATAAATTCCACCTTACTGTACATACAGGTCTTAACAGTCAGTAGATTTTGCATTCATTGGGTATTGGAACTGAGTCACCATGCGAGCCAACAGTTAAGTTTAAAGCAGCTTTCTGAAAGTAAGCATCTCTTCCATGCCTATGTGTGGTCCACACCAAAAGGACTAAAATCCAATTATTTTAGTTCATATCCAAGGTTGTTTTGAACATTCCAATGGTTTCCAAATGGGTTTGCTGCTAAAATACCCTCTATAGCTGCAGATCGGCAAATTCAGACTGCGCTCTCTGATTCCTGACACGATCTTAACGTCTTTTTCTGGTATCTTCATCATTAATAACCTTCTTTAAGACAAATACTGTCCTGAGTAAGACCTTTACAGCTGCCCTTTCACAACCCATCTGCAGTCATACTGTGTGTTGCTCGTAACTTCAGAGAACAGAATATTAAAACTTATACAATCCTTGGAGTGGCTCTTGTATCAACTGATCAGCACTCTGTATGATGAGAACAACACAGATCAGGTATAACACAAAGCTGTATTATTTCAGGGGACGTAAGTTTATGTACCTGGCTTTAGGCACTAGCATTTAGAAACGGTAATGAATATATGGCATGTAATATGACTTCCCCATGAACTGCAGCTGAAGGGCAATTTTCTTTTTTTTCATCAGATGTACACATGGGATTCTCATTATAGCGAATCAAAAGCAATTGGGTATGATGCCAGACCACTATATGATTTATCTCTCATAAATCTCCTTTTCTTTAAATACACCCTGTAAGTAATTTCCATGTGACTAGGCACACAGAAGTTCTTTTCTGACAGCTCTTCCACTCTCCCTTTCAAGTATGTTCGCTTACTGTTGCATACCCTGGTTTATTAAGATTGAAACCGTATGCCGATTGTTGTTAGAAGTACATACATCATCGAAGTCAGCAATGATCTCATTTAGCAGCCTGAGACATTCCAAGCCTTCTTTATTAACATCAGATTCCGTGTAAAATTCCTTGAAATCCGGAACGGAGGCAAACATGACACAGACACAGTCATATGACTGATGATATAGATCCTGTCCAAAAGCAAACAGAATAGAGAAAAAAACCCCATCATACCCAGCTCTAGATAAAAGTTTCGTAATTAATATGCAGTGCCCCGCTTCTGAAAAGGGAGGTGTTGCAGTGGTTGGAACACCTTAAGATGGTGGTTGGGTATTTTTTGCATTTAGCTGCATTCATTAATTTTAAATGGTGTACAAACCTGCTTGATAAAAAGATGCAACATATATGGCTAAAAATATTTCAGTAATTTAAAGTTACCTTTTTCCTTCCTGAACCTTAACCCTATGAAAATAAAATGTCCAGTAATTTATTAGATGGGGACAATTTCTGAAGCTTCTCATGTAAAGAATTTGGTCGGGCTCACATGACTAAACTATATTTTGCAAAATAATCTGTAATTTATTACTAGCTGTTCGTGTTATTTTAATAACTAGAAGACTGAACCAGAATCAGAAACCCAATGCACTACAGATGCATAATGCAACACAATCCTGATAGTTCTTAACCTAAAATGACAAGATGCCTAACAGGGCAAAATAATTGTCATTTCTTTTCCAGAACAAGGAGTAGAGTCAAAGGGAAAGGAGTCACCTGAACTAGAACTTATTTATGCCAAATTCTCCACTGCCTTCTGTGACCACTGAAATGAAAACACGTCTGCTCCACAGGAAGATTCTGGTGTTAAAAATGACCAACCACCACTCTCACCCTCCTCCCCTCCCCCTCCCCCAGCTTCCTCGCCCTTAAAAATTAGAATATCTCTTCTTTCAGGATAAATTCACATCCTGGAGAAAAGGAAAGAAAGAATATTTATTAAACTAATACTTTAAAAAAAATATACACAAAGGTAACCATAGCAATAAAAGATGCTCTAAGATACTACAAAGTCAAATTCTGTTCCGGTTGTTATTTGAGTAAAACAAGGATTTCAATACTCCTGTGAATAAGGTGAATAGGATTGGTTCTGTGATTTCAAGCAGCATCAGATATTATTCTCCTTTTTACTTATCAAAGCTTTCTTTTTCAATTTCAAGAATGTGGTGTGTCTCTACATATGTAGATGAGGTATGTGTCTCTACCGATGTGTAGAGACATAGTGAATCTCTGTTGGTGATGTGCAATTGAAAAATAGCAGAACTATGAGAAAACTGTTGACCTCCTCATCCCAGAACAAGTGTGAGGGAAGTTTCTGGACTAACATGAAAATAATGGCAGACAGGGAGGCACGTGGGCAGCTGAAGGAGGTAGATGATATACTACTAGATTTTTCTGCCCCTTTATTTTCTAATGATTCTATAACCAGAGCATCACTGAAGCTCCACCGTGCCTCTGTGCAATAAGGATGGAATATATTGTTGCAATTCACCATCATTTGTAATCTTAAAACTGAGCCGGTTGAAATCGCCCACCTGTACCTGACGTCCAGCTTACAGCCGTATCTACAAAGTCACTATCACTTTAAAGTGACCTGATCGCGCAAATGAAAAGCGACTAAACAAAACATCCAGGCTGACGGGTTCACTGTCAGATCACTACCAAACTTTAAAGAAGTTCTGGATCTCCACTGTCCTCTTGCCAAGAGAGTCTTTCATGAAGAACCAACATAGTGATAACAGTTTTTGACCATCTAGTATATCCATCTCCATAAACACGTTTAAGAAATTTAATCCATACAATAAAGTAATCAAATACTGGGGAGAGGGAACCCCTCTGTCTAAATTTACACAATATAGGCATTTTAAGCACCGGGCTGAAGTATTTAGTTTGAGAAAACAATCATCCTACAAGTCCTATATTGTCAGTACAGCAGTTATGCCTATCTGGAAGGTCATTTTAATGCCAGATGGGTAGAATCACCTCAGACAGTGTTTGTCTCTCTCAGTCAGTTATGGGAAAAGGCTAATGAGGTAATTTTTCCTAATGTAGGCCCTCAAGAGGAGTGCCTCGAACTATACAGGAAGAATCTGACTCTGAGAAACTCAAGCTGAGGCCCCAAATGGCCTCTCTCTGCTCCAGCCTCTCACACACAAACCCAGGCCTGCTCTGTAATACCGCAGTGGCATGCGCTGGTGGCAGGCTTGAGCATGCATGCACCTAGACTCTGCAGATACACTCGAATTAGCTTGAAATTAGTTAAGTGGAGCAGTAGAATGCGATTAACAGGCTCACTCCTCAAATGTTTAGCTTTTGCAGTCTGCATTTGCTTCACATCCACCTACTTCAAATTTACCTCAGGCGTAAACTACACTGAAACTACAGTAACATTTGCATATAAATATACTAAAAAGTTAAGATCTAATGTGCTGAGTGCTTTTCACAGGCAAGTTAGGAGAACAGGGACAGCGATTACATTCTGTGCTTAGCTTTCCTCCTATTTCCTCAATTCACCTTTCCTGTAACTTGATTTCAATTCTTGGTGAAGGAATTCAGGTCACACACATGGTAATGATTATTAAAAGAGGGTTGCATCAAAAATATAGGGCCCTGGTAACACAGAAGGGGGAATTCATGGTGTTATATAAAAGATTGGAGGGAGATACAAGAGTAGTTATAGCAGAATGTAGATAATTAATACTCAAAACATGGATTATTACACATACTTTTGAAACTTGGCCTGACAACATAAACAAGTTGCATACATCTGTGATCAAATATTAAAAAAAAAATCATATTCCTATAGGCTTCAAAAATCCAATAAATTAAATCCAGCCAAAATAACAGGGCAGTTTATATTAATACACATAAGTCTACTGTCCTAGGGATTCTGTTAATTAGTTTTAAAAAGTTGGTTTAATTTACCACATAAACATTAGGTAGCAGCTATTTTATTTGCTTTATTGAATCCTGCTGATTTTGCATCCTGAGAATGTAAAACGTGCCAGAATGACACTACTGATGAGATACGGATTGTGAAGTCTGTGTAACAGACAAAATCTAGGCACAGAGGTGATACAGGGACAGTGCCACATCTGAAATAATACATGGAAACTAACACCATGTAAAAGTTTATTTGAGAATATAATTTCAAGTCATAAGGATACAGGTCTGTTAGGAGCTACAACTGAACCCAACAGGAAAAGGACATCAACTATGAAGAGTTGCAGGTATATGATATTACTGAATAATATGGAGCAGAGATGGCAGAAGATTAATCATTTTATCACCTCATAATACTGGAACCAGAAGGTAAATAGAATATTTAAAAGTAGAATAAGGAAAAATATTTTATGTAAGAGACATATAAATGTATATGTCACTGTTATTCAACAACCCGAAAGACAAGAGCTTGGAGTTAAAACCTGAATGTTTATGTAAATACTACAAAAATGCATAACTAGGAAGTGTGTAAGAAGCATCTGCACAAGGAAAACATGTCCTTATATTTACAGGTGAAAGCATAATGGTGAATAGCACATTAATCTTCAGCTGTTCCTTGAGCTTTTGCTGAAGTGGTTGTTGCTCAGGCCCTGCAGCAGGTGGGTGCCAACTCCTGCCTTACTGTGATTTCTACTGAAAAAAAGTGTCTGTCCTACAAACATTAAACGTGGAGCCCTAATTAGCTATTAAGAAGTACTTTTGCTGTCTTCCCAGAAAGCAGAAGTGTTGCTCGGAATCAATCATGGCAACTTGCACAATGCACAGTCATCAGGAAAAGAAATAAGACTGAGCAAAAGACAGGAGCGGAGATTCAAATGAAAGTGCTGTTGTGACACAGGAAGATCGGTGTGCTTTGTGCTGTTGGATGTCCACCCAGTACGGGGACAAACAACCCGTAAGAAAGGCTTCCATACCTGACTGTTACAGACACAAATCATCGTTTTACATGAGCAGAGTTATCACTCCTTTCTCTCCTCCACCTCAAGCATAAACGAACTCACTGTATGGTAACACTTGTCATAGGCTGAAGATCAGTAACAGCGTCCCATTTCTCTTCCTTCCCCATTAATACCGGGGCAATACCCACCCCACTAATGCTGTACAGCGTAGTGCCAGCATGGGAACAACAACAAATGGCACTGTTCGTAACCAGATGAGTGGTAATTGTGGCTGTCAACAGTAAATGTCAGAGAATTTTCAGGAGGCATTCCCAGCTAGTTTATTTTGATCATCCGTAATAATAAAGGCTGTAGCAATTGGGTGTCCTAATTTTCCTATCAGTACTTCTCTTGAAAGAGTACTCTCCAAAATGTTTAACCAGAAAATTAAATGCAACACCATTCCAGGAAGGAATGGCTTTGCTTCTCTCAACAAAAACTAAAAAAAAAATCATCCTGTCTTCAGCAGTCAATCCCTTTTTTCTTTCTTTCCCCCTCCCCCCACCTTTGATAACATCTGAATTTCTGCTGGTTGGCTCTCCTTACTGTTCCCTCTTCTTCTCCAGCACCTGGACACCTTTTCAGGATGGAGGAGGCAAACCGGTCCCATTCTACCTCATGGAAGGGTATGGTGGTCAGCTTCTCTGGGGCAGAAGTTCTGTTCTAAGTGGGGTGCTGGCTCCCCCCTGCAGCTAATAAACCAGGATTCCTCTCGATCAGTAACGTGCTTGCCTGTTAACTTGAAGCACAGAAGCTCCTGAGCCCTTTTTACTAACAGGGGATCTGGATGCTAACAGCATAAAGGAAAAGGCTTCAAAAGCCAGGTGCAGATATATTTAATCCTGGCCCTGTTTCCTGCTTTTCCTTTTATATTTATTCCTATCTTTCTCTCTCTCAACTGGAAAGTACCCTGTTTGGTACCCAGCATGCAGACTATAAGCAAAAACCCAGTTCCAGAGGTTCTGGTAAAGCAAACAGACTTTTATTAGTTGGCTCTGAAGTAACTTTGCTTGTACCATACCAGCATTAGTCAGTGTGTATCCTGTCATGAAAAGACCTTTGTTGGTTGTCTAAAAGTACAGTCCCACTACTCCCAGTTAGCATTCATCCACTCATTTTTATCCCTTTCATTCCCGCTGCCTGTTCTTCTGCAGCATACGTTGTCTTCCCTTTTCTCCACACAGCTGCATGCATAAAATTCAAAGAGAACTAGTATTCTGAAACAGACTATTAATCCATTACATTAATTTTCATCTCATAATCTGTCTTAAACAGAAAAGGATATACATAAATCCTATTAACATGAATGTTTGCAACTAGGGAAAATACAGAAAAAAATTCAATTCAGTATCTGTTTAACTAAATATCCAAGAAAACAAAAGCTTGATCTGTCCTAACATATTCGCAGGTGTCTACACATACACACACATACAGAATGTTCTTTAAGGCTCAACACATCCTTGCTGACATTCAAAAAAATCTGAAGGCATGGCAGATGCTTATATTTCTGAACATTTCAAGGGATTTGAAAGGTTCTTCCCTCTTTGAAAACTGTGTTTAAAGATAAACAAGACAAGAAACAACTCAAGATTTTTTTTTTTTTTTAAAGAGATACCACTAAAATTATGTCAAATCACTTTCACTTTGGCTGACATGATAGATTGGAGAGCTCAGCACATTACAATTTCTGATCTTCGCTAAATTTACTAAAGCTTATTCCAGCCTAAGAATTTTGAGGGGTGACAGCATAAATCCAGTTGCCAATACCAAAGTGAGCAGATGGCATTGCTCTGCTGGGGAGCCGATATGGAATGGCACATAAATGAGAAAGCAATCTCCTGATGGTTTGCTGTGTTTAATGCCTGAACCAAGAACTGGAACTGAGCTAATCTGGCTTCCAGTCAAGGTCTTCACTGGATTCAGAGGAACCCCACAGCAGTTTCCATTCGACATTTGCTACCAAATGAATATTTACAGGTAGTACTAAAGTATGATATGAAGTACTGGTTAGTACTGCTTAATGCAAACCACAGGGAAAAGGCAGACATTGTCCTTTTACACTCAGGACATCAAAAATTAATCCCTAAAGCTGCCCTCTCCCTTCTTTTGTCAGTTTTGGAACAACTGTTTCATACACACAAGTAATGCAACCTATTTTGAGCTACCTGGTCTAGTGGAAGGTGTCCCTGCCCATGGCAGGGGAGTTGGAACTAGTTGATCTTTAAGGTCCCTTCCGACCCAAACCATTCTATGATTCCATGATTCTATTGCATTTAAGATCCCTAAAACTGCTACTCTAAATGTTTTTATTTTTTTCATCTTCTTTTGTTTTATTAAAACTGTAAAGCAGTATTAGGACCAGATCTAATTTCCACCAAAGTCAACAGAGGTCTTTTGGTTGATTTTTCTGGCGCTTGGATTAAGTCCATAAGCAGCAATTAAACAGCTAATTCGGGGTTCAGAACCTCTTTCCAAAATTTACATAGCTGCTATTTCAGTGAAAAGGTTAATTTTCACTCCAGTAAGCACGGGCTACAGTGACCAGATGAAAATTCAGGATCTTGATGCAACTGCACTCTGATCACAAAGAAAAAACTACCTGAATGCGTATGATTTGAATTTAAACTATCCCCTTCTTCCTCCTCACCTTTTTATCCCCTCCTTCGAAAGGCAAAGTTCACTGCTACTTAAAATAATTTCCCGTTTCTTACTTCAGGGCTGTAAGGTGCATTCAGTGCTGCGAAGGAATCCTTTCAGCTAGGTAAGGGGGAATGAAAGTGACTGGAAATCTATAATCTCACTGTATAGACCTACTGTTCAGATCAGCATTATGTGGCATTTCCAGGATACGCTGCTTTCTTACAGAGCAGAGGATATACAGAGATGGCTGACCTCATTCTTCAGGTTTCTTGCCAAGAAGTGTTCAGCTACGTGGGCTGGAAGCACATTCTCCAGAAGTACCCGATTGAGGTTCTCCATGGTTTCAATCTCTTCCCGCTCTTTTTTGAACTTGTTCTTCCACAGGAAGTCTAACCTACAGTAATATTCATTCTGTTACAAGAGGACACAGAGGTAAAGAAACAATAGGCATCTTGTCCTGCTGGAGTACAGGTTTAAGAGACAAAATAAGCACAGTATACCACCCCTACAAGGCAACTATTTGGCCACTCAAGTGCAATTCCAGATCCCACAGAAATCAAACCCCAAGCATGCGCTATGTGACATACATTTCATCAAACTTTTAAGCTCCCCTCCTCTCCCTCCCCAGTAAAAAGGCTAATAAATAGCCCAGGAAAAAAAAAAAAAGTTGCAAGGTGCCTTATACAATGGAAAACTTTTTTATTTACCCTCAGGCTTCAGCAGAAATTCATTCCAGAAATCAAATACTGTTATGGAAACAATTTCAATAACAATAACTGGAACTATATGGAAATGTATAACATCCTTGGAGTATCAGTATTTCAGAAGATCTGATTTCATTAAAATAGTGTTGAAAAATAAACAAAAATGCATTTTGTGGAGCTCTCTACTTCTTTTCAATATCATCAATGTTTTGTCCTAAATTCTACGGCTGTATTTCTACAGCAAAGCCTCCACTGGTCGGACCATCTCATTTGAGCTGATATAAATCAGCTCATTGTAGTAGTCCAATGGTTAACATTATCATGATGCCTCAGTGAAGACTATTATTAACCAGGAGAACGTGATTATGATGCCAATCTTATAGAAAAACCTAAAAATGCTAGCTAGTATTATTAGCAGTCAGTAAGCATTCACATCAAAATGAGAGTACTCCTTCTGATTGGACAGTGGCTGTCACAGCTCAAAATGATTCACAGATATTTTGCTGAGGTCACAGCCAAAGTTGAAATGAGATGGTATTAAAATGATTTGGCAAGCTTTTAAATATGTATATTATATATTTATACATCTATGTTCCCCACATAGATGATAAATTCAAGGTCTACCAACTGTATTCATGCAGAAAAAAATCCAATAAAAACTTGGCATGTCAAAATTATTTGCATAAGTTGACAGAAGTAAACTGGATGCCTGGTATGAAACTGAAATCAGGTATCCATACACTGTACAAACTTTTCACTTAAAAGAAAAAGTGTTACATAATCTGAAGTCTTCAAAAAGATGTTTCTTCTGTAAGAGCTGATATTAAACAGGTAACTTATTTACTGCTTTATTATTTATTGAATGAAATTTAGGCTGTCAAAAAAAAAGGCAGAGAACTCAGAAATCAAACAAAAAAAGCAGAATGTATTCTACAATATAAAAATTTTCACAGTTAAAAAGGTCAATGTATGATTTTTTAAAATGCCTATTCAGACTTTTAAAACCAAAATGAACTATCTTATTAAAACTTACTTCAAATTGTGGGGGTTTTTTGTTTGTATGATCTGTTCTATTTAGTATACATGCCACTAAAAATACTGTTCAATCTTTGTAGCCTTGCAGTTGTATGAAAATCAAGAAGTTTTCCCTCTTTGTATGTTATCCCCAGAACCTTTTCAACATATCAGAATGGAAATATCTCAGAATGAAAATATCTCAGAATGGCCCCTATTCATCTGCAGGCACAATATCCTTGAGACACAAAATTTTCCTTCTTTTCCTGAAGGTGCTTTACGGATGAGCACAGTGGAAGGCCCAAGGAGCCGTGAAGGACACTGCATTCCTCCGGGCATCACTGGCTTCCTCCAGACAAGAAACTGCCATGCATCTGTACAAGGCAATGCAGTGCAACCCCAGAGGTTCAAATCAGTGACGACTTCTTGGGTGAAAGCAGCAAGAGCAGATTCATGATTGCAGAGATGGGTTTATCTACAATTTTAAATTCTAGCGGGACACTCACCTGTGTCTATTTTCAGTATTTGCCTGAGTGAGGCAACGAACTAATTCTCCTCACTGAAAAGAATGTCACACAGAAAGTCCAGATAAGCAGCTCAAGAGGAGCTGCCTATGCCGTAGCTGTGTACAGCCAGGGGAGATGAATGCAATGGCACTCAGCCAAGGGGCAGAAAAGGCAGCACTAAAGCAGGTAAGATCACTAGAAATTAAACCTGGGTTTTCATTCAGGTGAGGGAGCTAAGGAGATTCCACCTCACAGCCAGTACTTACAGACGGCAAGTCTGAGAAACTGTCTCGACATGGAGAGCCAGCAGAAGATGTCTTAGAACACACCAGGAAGACGACCGACAAGAAGTCATCAGCTCTAAAGTAACCAAAATGAAAAGCTGCTGGTCTGAAACCTGTGGTGGATCGCCTGATCATTCAAAACAGCCGCAGTGTCAGAGAACTGACAAGTGGTAAGAGTACACTACGAATCTTTAGAAAAGAACCGGGGTGCCCCTGGGAACAACAGAGCAAGGTACTTCGGAAAAAATCTGCGCTAGGGAAAAGAGCTACTCAGACGTCTTACCTAAAGCTGATACAATGGGGAAGAGCTGACACCTCTTGAGTAAACATGCCTCCATCTGCTACACAGAAGTCAACAGGCATGTGAATAGCAGTGAAGTTTGAAATAAGTTTTCATTGAATTCTTTCATAAGAGGCTCTTGAAAAGACTACATTATCTAAGAAGAGATGGATACTGCCACAGAATAAGAGCTCGCTAAAAAACAGAACAGAGACTACAAATAAACAATCTTCAGGGCTGAGGGAAGTTGCCATAGACATCTGGGCAGTAAAACGGCCAATGAAGTTCAGTGTTGATAAACACAGTATAATCAAACATGGGAAAACCAAAATACTTACCTAGCCTGCAGAGTAATGGGATATATGTGATTCTAGGTACTGATGAGAAAGGAATTCACAGGCTCTCTCAATACTGGTAACTCAAACTGGCCCATAAGAGAGATTTAATGCTCAATGGTGTTTAAATGTTAGCACACTCCTTACACAGTGTAGCCATACCAATCTGCACTCTCCCTGGCAATGCCTGGACAGGGTGCGAGGGTCGCCATTCTCAACGTATTGTCTGCCTGCTGCCAGCCTATTTCCAAATAACCTGCATGCAGGATGAAACGCCTCACTTGATCCCAGTGCCAGGGAATGGGGGTAGCCTGCATTGGCACAACCATAAAAGAGAAGCCACCTCACTTCTGGAGGCTCACTCCCATCCTACGCCCATTCTTTTGGCACAAGCGTTGCTGCAGCCACACCATAAAACCAGATCAGGAAATAGATCTGGCTGAAAACCAATAATTTTTCCAGGGTTAATTTTTAAGCCAGATCATTTCCCTATTTCGGGCCACTATACAGCTCTACTGGCAGCTGTGCCAGTAAAAACGGAGGCAATGCTACAAGGTAAGAATGAGTAGCTCAGGGAAGGCCTATTTCTTTTAGTAGCCATGGCGGTTGTGCAGCTAAAGTATTAGCGGAACCTAAGAATTACGTTGGTTCATATAACTTGTAATGATATACTAGCTCACTCTCTCTCTTCCAGCGACACACATTCCCCCTCCTGCTTTTGTGTCAAGGCAAGCACCCTCCGACCTGTGGTGAGAACGTTCACAGAGCTAGGATTGTAGGAAAGCATTCACTTTTTGTTTAGATGAACTTTCGGCTTACTCACTCTGGGGACAGTGCCACCTTAAAGGAGATGGAAAGGCCACCCTTTTCGTCAGAAGCTATTATCTTTAGCATTGTTAAAATAGTCAGATATTAAGAGAAAAGACATGTTATTATCTGCAAAGTACAAAAATGCAATGGTGAATGGAGACATTGCTTGTCTATTACCCTCTGTGGAAGAAGAGTAAGGAAAAATTTTACTTTTCCTACACCGCCAAGATGGCTCAACAGCGTTCTGCAAGTGCCACTCGATGAAAGTACCAAGCGGAAAGTTTAAAAACACACAAGAAGACAGACACTTGACTTCTTATCAGATGGTGAAATTTGTACTGTTGCTGTATGCAAACCAAACGTTTTTGTTGACGTGCCTGAACCCACAAAGAAATACTTTTCTTGCCCAGTGAAGATGCCATTCCTTCTCTCCTTTTTTCTTGGTGTTGCACCCACCGCCTCCATCTGACACCTTGGTTGACAGGGACTGAAGGTTCTCATCTGGTGCAATCAAATATTCATCCCTCTTTCCCAGTGGAAGTAGGTGTACTCCAGCCCCACTCTCTGATAGCATCATCAAGTGAGCAAGTATTAATACAGTGCTGGCAGCAAGGCAGATGAAGGATGTTATTTCCAACTGAAAAAGGATGTTCCTCACTACAGGGAGAAGCTGACAGATAAGAATTTTTAGTGTAGTAACCTGCAGGGCCTGCTTGGCAATTTAAATGACAGTCATCACGTTTTGGGGAATTGTAATGTAAGTGAGTGATTTAAAGACAGTATGGGGATAAGATCACGCCCAAGGCTGCAGCCTATGGGGGTACAGGCTGTTCCCGAGCTCTCACATGGATTGCCTCTTCCATCTCAGAGCCCTCCCTTGTGCGCTGCATCGTTCCTGGCGCAACGGGCTGGAATTGCAGCTTTTAGCCATGGACTGTGGACAGACCCAAGGATTTAGAGAGAACTGCCCTTGCACCTGCCCTCAGCTTCATAGAGGGTAAGACCACTGGCATCCCGTTTGTACTGAAAAAGCACAACTGGGTAATAAAAAGAGCAGTTTCCTGTTGGGTCACAGTTTTAGTGCAACTGTGGCCTCAGCATGTGGTACACTTCTGTGTGCATGCTACATTGTTTCTGTGTCTGCATCAAATGGTAATAACTGTGAAGAAAATAGCTTGTAATTAAGCAACTAGGGAGACAGCAGATGGATGCAGACAGATGGGAGCACACTAGGAAGCTATGAGACAATACTGGTCAGCCTGACAAGCAATAGTCACAGCACACTATCAGCATAATGTCTACGGTCTCAATGACAGCCATTGGTGAGTTTTAAGGGAAGGTAGTAAACAAAACAGCTCTTAGATGCTTCCAACATCTCTTCTGCAAGGGTGTGGGGCAGAACGGAATAAAAGGGTTTGTCAGAAAACCTAAAAAATGCTTGAGAGGGTGAGAGGCCGCATGTGGAGGCTGGCATTGTGTCCACTGGTGCAGATGAAGAGAAGTCTGCATCTTACCTGTCTACCCAAAACCAGTAATGTGACGAAGAATATAAACAAGGAAATTGAGCCCATTGTCTTCAGGTCTTTCAGTATTCCTGGCCTAGAAAATAAAAACATAAGTAAGGCAAGCTGCACAGAAGTTAAAACAAAATTACCTTAGCAAAAGAATAAGACTACAATTTTTACTCTTTTTTGGTATGTAAACTAAGACCATTTAAATATGCCATGCTTTATTATTTGATGAAATATTATTTCCATTACGTAGCTTTAATTACTTTGACAACATTCTGTGCAAATGTGTTTACATTTTGAAGTCCAGTAATAAGATGATCATTTAATAAAAATAATATCCTTGTTTGATTACAAATGGAGAACATTTGGTGCTTATTCTATACACACGGATTAAAAAGATATTTTTTTATATAACAATACTACTTCCATAACGGAGAGCTTGACGGTATCCAATGAATGTAAAGAAACAGAAACTAAAGCACCTAACTCCCACGATGCCTTTTCATCTCAGAATTACAGGAGGCACAAGCTAGGTCTTGCACAGAGTTTATTAAAAAACTTGCTTTAGGAAAGCACTAGAGGTAATGGGAAACAGTTCTCAGCACTCTCCTACTGATGCCGTGGAAAGAAAATCCTGGGTGAGAGATTTAGAAAGGTTTTTTCTATGAAAACACCAACAGACACACACAGCTTGATGGGCAGAATCAAGGCTGCCAGAAGCACACGCTAAGCCTACCCTGTCACATGGTTCTCCATCCCATCACAGAGATGTTCTTTCCAGTAACGCACTAGAAACATAAAGACCTGGGTCTGTTTATTTAATCTTTGGTTTTAAGAGCAAAGAAAACAAACTTTTGGTTTGTTTTTTTTTTTTCAGCTCCTTTTCCATGGTCATGTCTGTGTCCTAAAGGTCTTAAGCAGTTTTCAGCACAGGAAAAAGGATCCTGAAACCCTACTCTGACTATTCAGTTTTTCTGTTGTGGCATATGCACTGCACACTCAGACTACACAGAAGAGAATCAACTCTTTGTTTTCAAAATGAGGTAGAAATGACGTGTGTCCAAAAATTGTTTTACATAGCAATACTTAGAGTCATAATTTTTGTTTTGTATGTTAACATCTGTGACAAAGATTTCAGCAGTCTCACTAAAAATTTAACATCCAAATTCGCAAGCATAGCAAAAAAAAAATCCAAACTGTTGCTCTGTTAATTTTTTTCAATAGCTAAGACTGCATTTGCGAAGTTTTAAGACATTGTACTAAATCTGAGGGAGCTGATTTGCTTTGGCCTGCAGCAAATATGCTTTAACAGCCATAATTATGTTCAGCCTTAGGCCCTAACTACCTTAATGATGACTTCTTCCCAATATCCTTTATTACAAAAATGCAAATTAAACCATACTCTATTTCTTATTGTATGTGATTTAAACACCTTGCCCAAACTTGTTTATTTTATTCTCATGCTCTGAGGTGTGATATTACACCATATATTAACTGCACCATGACAATGATTTTAAATAGTGACTTGTAGATTATATATCCAAACACAGAGGAAAAAAAAACCTGTTCCACAACATAAGAACTGCTGTAGTATTTAATTTTGGAAGGAGTTATTTATCCACCTACCTTCTAAGAGGTGCCATTGCATACATAAATTTGCTGTACTCATCCAGCATGGGCCCATGGGTGTGCAGAAGGATAACATTGTAGCCCACCAGTGCAATCAACATGATCACCATTTTCAACTCATAATTTATCCTCAGGAAAACAGAACAGGAAATGAGCCCTAATATGCAGCTGTATATAAAATACTGGCAAAGAAAAATCAAATGGAAAATATTTAGAATTTGGCTCTTGAGTAGGAAATCACACATAGCAAAATGCTCAGGCTAGGTTACAAAACAAGTTATTGACTGACCACTTAAGCATGGCATCTATCACAACTTGAGACATTATGGACTACAGTCAGTCGATAACAACCAGACGTTGGTATTTCATAAAATAAATTCTTTCTTACTAGGCTCCAATTCAACCAAAACTGAATAGAATCCAGTTTATGCTCCTAATCTATGCTCCATAATTTTCACAATTTTTTACTTCTGATTTACTGGTCTGCACTAGAGAGGAGTGCCTATGTGTGGGACACCACTGCTGGTGTTGAAGTCTAATGCAAGAGCCTATTGACAGCAGCCTGACAAAAGGTTAATTCCTGTGCCACTGTGTGGTTTTCACTCATGCTTGTGTTCAGTAACTACCCTCTATCTATTACTAACATCAGGGACAAGGTAAAGCATCTAAAGATCTGAAAACAGCAATTTCATTGCCTGTATCTGCAGTACTTATAAACTGATGCAATACACAGTTTTTATGAACCTCAAAGATATGCAATTTTACAGACTCTAGAAATAAAACTAAGATACGAAGAATATATAATTATAAACATGGCCTGTGCATAATATAAAAATAAAAAAATCCTTCTTTCATATCATCTTGAGTTATGACTACATAAGAACACATTCAGTTGTTTAAAAAACCAATTCCTATGTTACATATATCAACAATAATACGTATGATTGGAGTTAGACTCCTGTAAAATATTTTCTCCGGATACTTTCTGGAAATGGATAGGGCATCAAAATTAATGCCAAACCAGGAATAATACATTCTCACCAGAATCATTAGCTTAGTTCTTAACATACAGCACCTTTGCCAAAGACGCCTCCTGAAAATTACAGTCCTGCACCTCGTAAGTTAGTTACCTTTTCCAAAACTACAAAGCATTCTATTTCTAGATGTGCTATTTTCAGACTGCTGTTGACTTGTTGATGGCAGTACTTTTGACATAACCTGAATTGCTGCACGCTAATTTTGCAGGATCACTAAGAAGAATAATTTTCACAGCACCCAGAAGACAGAATTGATCTGCCATCTGAATCTCTGCCGTTACTGTAATTTGCTTGCAGATCTGCTTGAAATAGGAACCGGAAAGAACTGCTGTTCGGAATCAACAAAAATAAAACTTCTCTGCTGGCTACATTCCACAGGAGGTCACACTCCAAATTCAGTGTTACGTAAAAGTAGCAGCATCCATTTTTTACTCTGTAAGGCATGCTACTTGTGAAATTAGTTTTCCAAAAAGAAACTGGCAAACAAAAGGCAGTTCTGAATCCGCAACTGGATGCAGTTTGACGGAGACCCAGAAACTTCCAAGTGGAATAGACAGTCTCTATCAGTGTTCGGTAAGAATACATAAACTAGATTGAAAATTTCAGCTAAAATTTCAGACTAGGGTGGATGGATTAGAGAAGAGTGACACAACTACACATTTAAGAAAGCAGACTCCGATTTTGTGCATTGCAGTGCAAGATTTCAGTAAGCAACAAGCTGATCTCTGCTAGAATAGCCATACCAGGTCACAAAGTTTATTTTGAAAATTCCCCCTTAAATAAACCTTTTCCCAACTGTATCTTACATATATTCAAGGCTATTGTTTTCTGAGTGCTCAACACTGCAAATGAATTTTTCAATTCCTGTCAGAGGATCTAAAATCTCATCCTTTTTGTAATAGAATCTGTAAATTTTAGTAGACTCTTAAAGTATTGTAGTTTGAATCCTTCTCTAACCCTTCCAGCTTTCAGACTAATGCAAAAGGGCTGGCCAAAAAAACTCTAAAACCCAAAATACCCCAAAACCAAACACCAAACATCCAGAGGAGGAACTGCAAGACATAATGCTTCTAAAGGTACAGTGCAGAGGAATAATGGTAACTGGTGTTCTAGCTGGCTTCTCATAAGGAAGCATGCAGCTACAAAGCAGGGAAGATACTTAGTCCCTAAGTGCCACATCTACATATCTTTTAAATACCTCCAGGTGATTAAACGACTTCCCAGGGCAGCCTGTTCCAATGCCTGATGACCCTTTCAGTGAAGACATTTTTCCTAATACCCAATCTAAACCTCCTTTGGTGCAACCTGAGGCTGTTTCCTCTTATACTATCACTTATCACTTGGGAGAAGAGACCAGCATCCTCTTCTCTGCTACCTCCTTTCAGGTAATTGCAGAGAGCGATCAGGTCTCCTCTGAGCCTCCTTTTCTCCAGGCTAAACAACCCCAGCTCCCTCAGCCGCTCCTCACAGGACTTGTGCTCCGGACCCTTCCCCAGCTCCACTGCCCTTCTCTGCAACGCTGAAGAGTTATGAATCCCCATAGCAGTGAAGCTGAGCAGGCACAGGTCCGTGCTGTGCTCTGCGTATCCCTTGGCTGTGGGATAACCCCAGACAACGCAGCCAACATACTGGGAGCAAGGAGCCTGCAGGCAGCTGTCACTTGGCAGCAGTGGATACGCCACCTGTTGTGGCCTCAACTTTATCTAACAGTGCAGCAAGTTCTCATGGATGTTGTTTTTATCTGACAGCAGAAATGATGATTAGAAACGTTTCCTTTTAAGAACATTCTGTAAGAGCTCAAAAGAAGAAAATGCTGGGTAACCTCTCCACAGATGGGGTCTGCGCCATCCCTGACTGGAGGTCCATCCTATTCTGTATGATTCAGAGTTCCCAGCATCTGAAGGGATGTAACTCCATCTACCCTCTTTTCTTCCCGTCCTAGCTCCAATAAACAGTATTTTAATCAATACCTTTCAGAGTCTGAGTGCATTACCTGCCAGGATCACAGGCCCAGTGCCTTGCACTGTTTCACTACACTCTTAGGATCTTATCTCCAGTCCAGTGTGTTTGTCTCTTCTCTTAAAACTGAAGACCCACAGTTCTGTGGTTATAAAGATCTTTACTAAAGTAAAAAGGTCTTCTATTCCAATCCATGGAGAAAAGCTTGAGAAGAAAGTAATTTTGCGATTCTCTAGTCAAATACACCATATTCCAGAACGGCATCTTTCAGAAGTCAGTATTAAGACTTTTTTTAACATGTACAGATGGCAACACTGATACCACACTATATTTTATCCTAGGAAAAGACAAGCACGACTTGAAATCTCGCAGGCCTAACTTCGATTATATGGAAATTACAGAACCATCATAGCAAAACTGAACAATAAATAAAGACAAGCAACGTCCCTAAAACTTACTGTGTAATCTTTCCTAAGTCTTTAAAGAGAGGAAGAAAGTGTGCATTAAAACTCAGAAAATTTTGCTGTTTTGTTGGGGGTGGAGAATGGAAGAATCAATTTTTTTGCTTCACAATGAACTAAATTCTATTGGGGCTGAAATAATTTAAAAATCTCTTATTCACTCATTTTAGATGACACAGTCAATAGATCTGTCAGGTCCACTATCATAAATCACAGGAATTTTATGTGCACGAATAAAGCTTAAAGCTAACACACAGATTCAAAAGATTGAATTTTTAATTTAAGGAAACAAACATTTGTCAGCTTAAATATTCATTAACTCATTCAGTAAAGATACAATTATTTTATTTCCAGATTAAAAACAAAGAAAAGTTGTATCTGAAAAGGAATTTGTAGCTTTTTCAAGCCAGAAGTTATGCAGTGCCTGCAGATGAAAATGACGTGCATTTGAGAGCTATTTAATAAAAAGGTGATGGAGAAAGTGTTAAAAAACTTCAGTCAACCTAACCTTTTAATTTATTATTATGGGAAATCACATTTTAACATAATTATTGTGCCAATTTATCAAATACAAAGTTTTTTTAATGAAACAATGCATTTGAAGAGTTTAAAATGTATAAATTTATAAAATCGGTAAATAAGAAATTAGTGGTTCTAATTCAAAATTAGAAATTCACTAGTTATAAATGTGCCAACCATGTGAAGAGCTGACAAACTTCTTAGTTAAACATGGGAAAACAAAGGAAAACCATAAAGATACATATATATATATATTTTTTTTTTAAGACTGGCAGATTGAATCTTAATGATAAGTATAATTTATGATAACTGTATCCTTCAGGTGCTTGTTGGAGAACTTGCTGGTAAAAAAGGAAACAAAATACCTTTTAAGATATTAAAAACCGTAGGAAGTAATATAAAAACAGAAGATTACTAGAAAACCTGCTACCTAAAAAACCCAAACAAATGTAAATAAGCATTGAACAATATATTTCTATGTGCTTGTGAGTGTGAATATATGCAGAGGCCGGGAGAAGGACAACTAGGATATCTTTGACAATAAGGATAACTGCCAAAAGCAGATGTAGGCACCTATCCATACCTGGTGGTATTTAGTTAGCTAAATTTGAAAATGAGAAACTCATGCTCTGCTGTTGCTTGATCACAGAGATGAGGAAAGTTCATAAAGTGCTGAGGTTACTGTAACTGGGTTGTTTTTTGTTTGGTTGGTGTTTTTTGTTTGTTTTTTTTTTTTTTTTCCCCAGGATTGTTCTATACTTAATTAATATCTTGGTGATGTGTGTGCCTAGGATTGCCATAATGAATAGCTCTTTCATGTAAAACGTATTGTGTGGAAATCAGCACACAACACTCTGGCACTGGTCTCATCAATTCTGCATAAAGATAAAATAATCTCCTCCTCTTGCTGCCTCCTGCTTATTCATCCAAAACTACTGACCTATTTTGGAACAATATACAGCTTGGTATGTTCAACTGCAGGTCTTCTGTAATCCCTTTAAGAATCATTGCTCTCTCCAGGAATGCCCTTCCCCCTCTTCGTGCAAGTGCCGCTGTGCTTTTGTTCACACTAGAACATCTTCTTCAGATCAGTTCAGATCTTTTAAACAGTTTATGTAGTGGTACACGTGTTGTTATTCCCACCCCCACCCTCCTCACCCCACCGCTTAATCAAACATGCAATGACAGGAGTGTGACGATC